GGTTGGGGGCACTGTTAAGCCTGAGGGGCACTACAGTCCACTATGGAAGGTTGGGGGGCACTATGGGAGTTGGGAGATACTGTGGAAGATTAGGGTATCTGCAGCTGGCTGGAGGCTGAATAGGAGGTAGTCTGCAACCTGGCATTGGCCACTGTCCGGTGATTGAGAACCACTAAATTAGATGAATTTATGTCTTTTTACAACCTAACTTACTATGTAACACAATGCACCAGGATGCAAAATACCTGACTGGGCCCTAAAAGTTATAGCTGTGAGTCAGAAAAATGCACCATAAATTCATGAATATTCCCTGCCTGCCCGTCACAGAACCTCCCTCAATGGGGAATCCCTACTGCTAGCTTAATATGATGACAGAATGAAGTGATTAAGACAAGAAAGCTGTCCGGAGTTAAAGTGGGGACAGATTAGGGTCCCAGCGCTCAGTGCCGACTCAGCGAGCACCATTCTTCTCTCCCCCGGCTGGAGAGGATAAGACGGTCAGTGAGTGGGATCCGGACATGATCCCATACAAAGGAGAGCGATCCATTGAGCGCCGATAAACACAGTCTAATCCCAGTGAAAGGGCCGCTGACAACCTCATTAATTAGAGCCCTGGACACCATTCATTTGGGATAAGCTTTCTCTTTAGTGTCATATTAGCAATGTAAAATTAAAGAGCAGAGGCGATCGCATACGTAACGATCGGGATGCCGGAGTCGAATCGCAAGATCACCGACTCATCCCTGTAATTACTAACCAGTGCTGACTGTACGGGTTCTGTGCAGGGATTTAAACTTTGGTCAGAAGAAATTCTATTGAAGTATCTATCCTTAACTCGAAAAGTTCCTTCTATCGCTTGCAGCCTACTGCAAATTCCTATTTTGTTTGCAGCTCTGATCTGACTTTCTGTTAGAGGGTGGCTACGTACGTTCTCCATCTGCAACTGTGTGTAGGGACATAGTCACCCTCTCCTACTTACTCACCAGTAGTGATGGGTTTGATGTTCAAGTCGAACTTACATCGGCCATTCGTGCGTTCGGCGAACACATGCACGGTAAGGGCGTTCGTTGGGCTGTTCACCCGCCACGCCCCACATTGCACTGTGCTCTGACAGTGTATTGTGACTGGCCAAAGCAATGCACCTGACCACAGCTATGCTGTGGCCAATCACAGCACAATTGGGTGGAGGTAGCGGTGACATCACCACTAGCTCTGCCCAGTTGTTTACACCTGGCTCGCAAATGCCAGATACCCACAAGGAGGAAAAAGATATTTGAAATATATTTTAAAAATATTCTTCCCAAATATATTGACATATACAGTCATGGCCGAAATTGTTGGCACCCTTGATATTTTTCCTGAAAATCAAGTATTTCACACAAAAAAGGTATTGCATTAACACATGTTTTGCTATACACATGTTTATTCCCTTTGTATGTATTGGAACAAATATAAAACAGAGGCAGAAAAGCAAATATGACATAATGTCACACAAAACCCCAAAAATGGGCTGGACAAAAGTATTGGCACCCTTAACTTAATATTTGGTTGCACACCCTTTGGAAAACATAACTGAAATCAGTCGCTTCCTATAACCATCAATAAGCTTCTGACACCTCTCACCCGGAATTTTGGACCACTCTTCCTTTGCAAACAGCTCCAGGTCTCTCTTATTGGAAGGACACCTTTTCCCAACAGCAATTTTAAGATCTCTCCACAGGTGTTCAATGGGATTTAGATCTGGGCTCATTGCTGGCCACTTCAGAACTCTCCAGCGCTTCTTTGCCATCCATTTCTGAGTGCTTTTTGACGTATGTTTGGGGTCATTGTCCTGCTGGAAGACCCAGGATCTTGGACGCAAACCCAGCTTTCTGACACTGGGCCCTACAGTGCGACCCAAAATCCTTTGGTAATCCTCAGATTTCATGATGCCTTGCACACAGTCAAGGCACCCAGTGCCAGAGGCAGCAAAACAACCCCAAAACATCATTGAACCTCCACCATATTTTACCGTAGGTACTGTGTTTTGTTCTTTGTAGGCCTCATTCCGTTTTCGGTAAACAGTAGAATGATGTGCTTTACCGAAAAGCTCTATCTTGGTCTCATCTGTCCACAAGACGTTTTCCCAGAAGGCTTTTGGCTTACTCAAGTACATTTTGGCAAACTGTAGTCTTGCTTTTTTATGTCTCTGTGTCAGCAGTGGGGTCCTCCTGGGTCTCCTGCCATAGCGTTTCATTTCATTTAAATGTCGACGGATAGTTCGCGCTGACACTGATGCTCCCTGAGCCTGCAGGACAGCTTGAATGTCTTTGGAACATGTTTGGGGCTGCTTATCCACCATCCGGACTATTCTGCGTTGCAATCTTTCATCAATTTTCCTCATCCGTCCACGACCAGGGAGATTAGCTACAGTGCCATGGGTTGCAAACTTCTTGATAATGTTGCGCACTGTGGACAAAGGCAAATCTAGTTCTCTGGAGATGGACTTGTAACCTTGAGATTGTTGATATTTTGCCACAATTTTGGTTCTCAGGTCCTCAGACAGTTCTCGTCTCCTCTTTCTGTTGTCCATGCTTAGTGTGGCACAGACAGACACACAATGCAAAGGTTAAGTGAACGTCTCTCCTTTTTATCTGCTTTCAGGTGTGATTTCTATATTGCCCACACCTGTTACTTGCCCCAGGTGAGTTTACAGGAGCATCACATGCTTGTAACATTCTTATTTATCCGCAGTTGTGAAAGGGTGCCAATACTTTTGTCCAGCCCATTTTTGGAGGTTTGTGTGACATTATGTCGAATTTGCTTTCTTTCCTCCCTTTTTTTGTTTTGTCCCAATACACACAAAGGGAATAAACATGTGTATAGCAAAACATGTGTTAATGCAATACGTTTCGTGAGAAATACATGATTTCCTGGAGAAATATCAAGGGTGCCAACAATTTCGGCCATGACTGTATTTGAAATACTACAATTTTGGCCATATTCAATAGAGAAGATGGGACTTTCAGGGTGCATGAACGTGAACACCAAACATATTAAAAAGTTATATAATTTTTATTTCGTATTTTTGTAAAAAACACAACAAGAAAGGAAAAAATACAGAAACATAAAAACAATTTCAGTTCTAAGAGTAAAACTGAGATTCAAACTTAGTTATGTAATTGTAGTTACTCCCTACATGTTTCGCCCTCACGGGCTTCTTCAGGGGGATTTTTTTCAAGAAATACGAAATAAAAATTATATAACTTTGTAATATGTTTGGTATTCATGTTCATGCACCCTGAAAGTCCCATCTTCTCTATTGAATATTTGCAATTTTAAGGGATGTGGTGCAATAATCATATCCGGTCGCCCCCGCTCGCCACTGCACTGTTACTATATTTCAAAATATATGTGTGTATATATATATATATATATATATATATATATATATATATATATATATATATGTGTATATATATATATATATATATATGTGTATATATATATATATATATATATATATATATATATATATATACACTGCATGTTGAAATGTGTTTTTTATATATTACATATATCTGAAAAATATTTTTAAAAATATATATTTTTTTAAATATATTCTTCCGATTTTTTTAACAGATAAAAAAAAGTAATTTTAACATATATCTTTACATGTACTTGTAAATGCATTCCAAAAATGTAGATTGAATGTATTTTTAAAGACATACAGTATATTTGAAAATGTATTTTTAAAAATATTTTACTTTTTTTATGTAATAAAAACTAATTTCAACATACAGTGTGTATATATATATATATATATATTGAAATACATTTTGAAATATATTGAATACGGCCAAAATTGCAGTATTTCAAATATATGTCAATATATTTGGGAAGAATATTTTTAAAATATATTGCAAATATATTTGTCTTCCATGTGGGTAGCGGCGAGTGCTTGATGGGTCAGTGGGCGTCAGGTTTTATTATTTTGGCGAGTTGGCGGCATTGTGACAGCTCTGGACGCTGTGATTGATGATGGTTTACGATGATGGAACCATTTTTTTGTCTTTTTTTTTTATTTGTAATTTTATTACAAATAATTTTATTTATTTGTTTTTTATTTAGTCAAAAACTGTTGTGCTTTTATTAATTTTATCTACACTTTTTTGGTGAATGGGTATCCCATACTCATTCATAAGGGGGGGCGAGATCTGGGGGCTCACTTGTAAAAGTCACCCCCACAACCACAGCCCAGGGTTGTGGAGAAGAGGCCCTTGTCCCCAGCAATATGGGGACAAGGTGCTTTGGGGGGGATAGTTGCCTGGTACGGTTCCGGGGGGGGGGGCACTAACTCGTTCCCCCCTTTCCTGACCTGCCAGAAATTGTCCTTGAATCAAGGGTCTTGTAGGAATTTTAGGGGGGACCCCACTCCCCCCCATTTTTTGGGGGTGGGGCACCCCTTAAAACTGCTACCAGTGCTAAAGGTCCTGCTATAGCTTTAAGGGGGAACCCCATGCACTTTAAAAAAAATTTCTGTGGTGTCCCTCCTAACAGACCTAAAGGTATTGATTGTTGGGGGGGGGGGAAGTTGTGTTTTTTTTTTTTTTTGTTTTTAATAAAAAATGACAGTGCTGCTGCTCTATTTTATACAGATGTGCAACTTTGAAGGTAGTTTAATGGGACCCCCCAGGCATGATATTTAACCACTTGCCTACCGGGCACTTATACCCCCTTATGTACCAGGCCAATTTTCAGCTTTCAGCGCTGTCGCACTTTGAATGACAATTGCGCGGTCATGCAACATTGTACCCATATGAAATTTTTATCATTTTTTCTCACAAATAGAGCTTTCTTTTGGTGGTATTTAATCGCTGCTGGGCACTTTACTTTTTGTGCTATAAGCAAAAAAAAGTGCAAAAAAATTAAAAAAAAAAAAAAAAAGTTTCTTTGTTTCTATTATAAAATTTTTCAAACAGGTAATTTTTCTCCTTCACTGATGTGCGTTGATGAGGCAGCACTGATGGGCACTGATAGGCGGCACTGATGGGCACTGATAGGCAGCACTGAAGGGCACTGATAGGCGGCACTGATAGGCAGCACTAATGAGGTGGCACGGATAGGTGGCACTGATATGCGGCACTGATTAGTGGCACTGATAGGTGACACTGATAATGGGTACTGATAGACAGCACTGATAGGTGGCACTGACATCACTGCTGGGCACTGACTGGCGGCACTGACTGGCACAACCGCTGGGCACTGACTGGTGGCACTTACTGGAAGCACTGCTGGGCTGCACTGATGGGTGGCACTGGTGGGCACAGGTGGGTGGAACTGGTGGGCACAGGTGGGTGGCACTGGTGGGCACAGGTGGGTGGCACGGGTGGGCACAGGTGGGTGGGCAAGGTGGGTGGCACTACTGGGCACAGGTGGGTGGGCACAGGTGGGTGGCACTGCTGGGCACAGGTGGGTGCATTGCTGGGCACAGGTGAGCGCACTGCTGGGCACAGGTGGGCGGAACTTGTGTGTGGCACTGCTGGGCACCGATCATCAGGGCACTGATGATCAGTGATCCTGATGATCGGTGCCGATCCCCGCTCTGACAACTGCCGGTTTTCGGCAGCACTTTCCTCACGCTCTGACAGCGTGAGGAAAGTGTAGCCGAGAACCGGCATTTGCATTTCCCGGTGAACAGCGTGTCATTGGACACGGCTGATCACGTGGTAAAAGGCCGCTGTGATTGGCCTTTTACCACGTCACGTGATCAGCTGTGTCCGTAGGACACAGCGATCACATAGATCGCCGGGTGCGCGCCCCCCGGGGGCGCGCAGGAGAGCGCGTTCTGGGAGGATGTCATATGACGCCCACCCCAGAACTGGCCGGCCGCAGTGCAACCGTCATTCGGCTATCTGCGGTCGGCAGGTAGTTAAAGGAATTTTTCTTTTTTTTTTACTTTAAGCAATGAAAAGTGACTGCCCCTTTAAAAACGGTGCTTTGTTGACCTTTTTTTTTTCACTGATTCATGTCCCTCAGGGCAGTCCCCGAGTCCCCATACCCCTTTTATGGCCAATAACTTGCATATAAGCCTTCAAAATGGGCACTTTTGAATTTAAAATGTGAGTCCCATAGACTTGCATTAAGTTCGAATTTTCTTTAGGTTCCAATGTTCGCCCACAAACCAAACAGTGGGGTGTTCGGCCCATCACTAGTCACCAGATGGATTATGGACTATGGGTTTGCAGTGTGCATAGAGCAGGGCCAAGACCTCAATGAATGTACATCGCTCGCTTTAAAAAAATAAGAGAAGTGAGGGAGGCTCACAGAGGATGAGGCAAGAAGGCAAATTACATCAGTATATGTATCTTTAAATACAAGCAGTGTAAGCAGCAGGGGTGGGCAGGAGGGGTGGCTGCCCTGGGCGCAGTGGTATCATAGGAGGTGGAGGGGGGCACCTCATGGAAAGTCCCAACCTACAAGCTGACAGGAGTAGTGATGGCAGCTTCACTACTCCTGTCAGCTTAGCTCTGGAGGAGACAAGCCAGATTTGGAGAGGAAGAGAGAGCTGGGGCAGAGGGACAGGTTGTGCTCTCTCTCCCCTCCAGCTCCTCCTACTGCTGCTGTTGCAGTGCTCCTGGATCAGGACTGCCGGATCGCCACTGTGCAGTGTTTGTTTACCTTCCCCCATCTCCTCCCAGCAAAGAATGTGGGTAGGGGGCAGGTAAGCAAACACCGCACAGTGACAATCTGACAGCCAATAGCATCTCTAGTGCACCAACAACACTGCAATCCTAAAGCCCTCTATAGCCCTCTATAGCCCCCTATAATGCTTGAATTTGTTTATTGGGAGGCAGGGAATTTTTGCTGACACATAGTGCTCATACATTATTATTTATTTATTTCAGGTACTTATATAGCGCCGTCAATTTACACAGCACTTTACATATATATTGTACATTCACATCAGTCCCTGACCCTCAAGGGTAGTACCAGGGGCGGACTGACAACTCATGGGGCTCCCGGGCAATAGGGGATCATGGAGCCCCTGTGTCCTTGCCCAAACTCACAAAAAGCCTATGAAAAAAGTACCAGGGGCATCTCATGGGGCCCCTACTGACCCCGGGCCCTCGGGCAGTGCCGAGTTTCCAAATGGTCAGTCTGACCCTGGGTAGTACAATCTAAGGTCCCTAACTCACATTCATACATACTAGGGACAATTTAGACAGGAGCCAATGAACCTACCAGCATGTCTTTGGAATGTGAGAGGAAACCGGAGTACCCGGAGGAAACCCACACAGACACAGGGAGAACATGCAAACTCCAGCCAGGTGGTGCCATGGTTAGGATTCGATCCAACGACCCGGGGGGTGCTGTTTGGCATCTTCGCCCTGGGCGCCAGATGACCTTGTACCGGTAGTGAGTATAAGTACCAGAATGTGGCCTGGAATGTTCCCTGTCCTCATACAGCAGAGAAGAAACAGCACAGGGATCCAATCAGTTCATGTGCTGACAAGAAGCATGCTGATAGGAGGAGAGAACAGAGTGACAGGTAGTTCATCACAGCTGCTTCTCCTTTCACTCTTTAGTTAGAGGCGGGGGATGGATTCTGACAACCTGGCTCAGAGGAAGTGAGTTGAATGATGCTGGCCATTAGAATGAGGACATCTAGTGGCAGAAAAAGGTAATCTCTGGGCTGCAAATAATGAATATTGCAGCCAAAGCTGGTTTGGCTATATTATCTTTTGATGGGCTATTCATTTTATTGCTATTTTTTAGCTGGAGTTATTATGTTTAATTTTTTAAAATCTGCAGCCTTCTGTATAAGAATTACTGGTGATCCTGCCATGAAGGTCCTTGTTCAGGCACTTCCTGTTATAGTTCTCTGCTCCTGTCTCCCAATGGTGCTCCTGTGTTATCACCCAGCCACAAGGGTTTCCAATGGAGACTACAAGAGGCCACGTCATCCCATGACACAGGCATGGTCCACTGTTATTGTTACATAGTATTGACTCCGTTCCATTCCCATGCAGATCAAAGGGGGTGACTACTGACCTGCATTGGATGTCATTTAAAGCAACCTTACAAGAATTATTATTTTTTAAAAGTGAGTTTGTACTTCACCCTTTACTAATCAACCCCAATGAAGTCACTTCCCCCCTTTGTCTACCCATATCTATTATTTTACTGTTTTGTTTTATTTTCTAACTATTAATGTTTAAAGTTTTCTTTTTCATTTTAGTTTGTACTTTTCATAAATTTTTTTTATGTCACATTTTTAAACAAAAGCATCATTGAAAAAAAAAGGCTTTGTTTAATTTGTTAATAACTTTGCAATCTTTAATCATTTTAATGCCATAAATGAGACAAAGATAAAATCATTTTTTCTTTTGGTTTGTAGTAACGCTGTTTTTTTTTCTTGAAAAAAGTTTTGGGTTTTTTAAGTTGATTTGAGCTTTTAGTCTATGGATCTCATAGATAATAAAATAATTTTTAATCCATGCTTGCTGTTTGTACTGAATATATATTGGCATCATAGGTAGACCTCAACTATGAGAGACAAAATGAGAAACAAAATCCAGACAACCACATTGGCTGATTTGGAAAATAATTTATTTGCAAATTATGGTGGAAAATAAGTATTTGGTCAATATGAAAAGTTCATGTCAATACTTTGTTATATATTCTTTGTTGGCAATGACAGAGGTCAGACGTTTCCTGTAAGTCTTCACAAGGTTGGCACACACTGTTGCTGGTATGTTGGCCCATCCTCCATGCAGATCTCCTCTAGAGCAGTGATGTTTTGGGGCTGTCGCTGGGCAACACGGACTTTCAACTCCCTCCAAAGGTTTTCTATGGGGTTGAGATCTGGAGACTGGCTAGGCCACTCCAGGACCTTGAAATGCTTCTTACGAAGCCACTCCTTCATTGCCCGGGCAGTATGTTTGGGATCATTGTCATGTTGGAAGACCCAGCCACGTTTCATCTTCAATGCCCTTGCTGATGGAAGGAGGTTTGCACTCAAAATCTCACGATACATGGCCCCATTCATTCTGTCCTGTACATGGATCAGTCGTCCTGGTCCCTTCGCGGAGAAAACTGCCCCAAAGCATGATGTTGCCACCCCCATGCTTCACAGTAGGTATGGTGTTCTTTGGATGCAACTCAGCATTCTCTCTCCTCCAAACACGACGAGTTGTGTTTCTACCAAACAGTTCTATTTTGGTTTCATCTGACCATATGACATTCTCGCAATCCTCTTCTGGATCATCCAAATGCTCTCTAGCAAACTTCAGATGGGCCCAGACATGTACTGGCTTAAGCAGGGGGACACGTCTGGCACTGCAGGATCTGAGTCCCTGGCGGCGTAGTGTGTTACTGATGGTAGCCTTTGTTACATTGGTCCCAGCGCTCTGCAGGTCATTCACTAGGTCCCCCCGTGTGGTCCTGGGATTTTTGCTCACCGTTCTTGTGATCATTTTGACCCCACGGGGTGAGATCTTGCGTGGAGCCCCCAGATCGAGGGAGATTATCAGTGGTCTTGTATGTCTTCCATTTTCTAATTATTGCTCCCACAGTTGATTTGTTCACACCAAGCTACTTGCCTATTGCAGATTCAGTCTTCCCAGCCTGGTGCAGGTCTACCATTTTGTTTCTGGTGTCCTTCGACAGCTCTTTGGTCTTCACCATAGTGGAGTTTGGAGTGTGACTGTTTGAGGTTGTGGACAGGTGTCTTTTATACTGATAACAAAGTTCAAACAGGTGCCATTGATACAGGTAATGAGTGCAGGACAGAGGAGCCTCTTAAAGAAGAAGGTACAGGTCTGTGAGAGCCAGAAATCTTGCTTGTTTGTAGGTGACCAAATACTTATTTTCCACCATAATTTGCAAATAAATTCTTTCCAAATCAGCCAATGTGATTGTCTGGATTTTTTTTCTCATTTTGTCTCTCATAGTTGGGGTCTACCTATGATGCCAATTACAGGCCTCTCTCATCTTTTTAAGTGGGAGAACTTGCACAATTGGTGGCTGACTAAATACTTTTTTGCCCCACTGTATATATATATATATATTTACAGGGTGATTGAAAAGTAACTCCGTATTTTAAACTATTTATACATTTTTTATATGAAGTTACTTTTTTCTCAATTCTTTAATGTATGTTCCTTAATCTATGACAATTAAATCTGTATTGTTTTTCTTTTCAGATTGATTATTTTGTTTTAAAATTCAAAGCCCCATAAAAATGTCCAAATGTTTAACTGTACAAGAGTGTGCCCAGTTAGCGGCACGCTAAGAAGTTTGGAAATCAGTTGTTCAAGTGCAAAGATGGTGGAGGACCATCAAAGGAAAACATGCTCAGATCGATGCAAAGACCAGAACTGTCATGCAAAACTCATGGCGACAGGTTCTGTAATGGATGCACAAAGAAGCGGTCGCCCTTCCAATGCCAGTGACCCGGAGGTAGTGAGAACAATTCAAGAAATGTTCACTCAGAGCCCAAAAAAGTCCATTCGACAAGCAGCAAGGGAAAGTGGCCTCTCTTTTCACTGTGTACAAACTGTGCTCAAGAATTTTAAATAAAACTCCATGTTAAGTGTGTTCTTCTCATATTCATTTTTTGTAAAAATAATGATTAAAAAATAAATTATAAGATTTTTAAAATAAAGAGTCACTTTTTAATCACCCTGTATATATTACAGAGCCTTGAAAAAGTATTCATACCCCTTGAATTGTTCCCCATGTTGTCATGTTACA